ACAATTGACTACATTTTCAAGTTGTGAACGAACAGCTGAATTCAATGATTTTTTTCGTTAATATATTCATTTACACTTTCCTATTCGAAGTAATTTTTTGTCTTTATTCCCTAAATATTCTGTGGAGTAATAGTGCGTCGAAATATTCTTTAAAACCCTAGGTACAGCTGTAGTTCAACAATAAGCTCAATAAACCGAAAATATTGTATTAAATAGTGAATGATCATGTCTTCCTTGCTGAAAATCATGAATTTTGGCCTTTTTATCCATTTCAAACTTTTTATCAATAAGTTGTGTATAACCTAATTTATTCATTTGTGGTTCAGTTATGCATTTGACATTTTACCACAGATGACTTCAAACCAGCCTCAGTAGACACCTCGAGACCGGCAGAGCTTGTTGTAGGTGACAAAAATGAGGTCACAGTCACTGTTCCTAATGTACAGGTATTATATGAATTCATCTAAATGCTTAAAACTTAATGGCTGCTGTTAAATCCCTTTAGTAGCCATCTTTCAAAAGTAATATCCCTCAAAAGTTGTATTTTTCACCAAGAAAATAGGAGTAACAGGGTAACCAAACAACCTCTTTGTACAAACACTGAAGGAAAAAGTTGAATAACACAGCCAGCTCTAACTGTGAAATATTTTTTTTCTTATTAAAAATAGTGCATTATTTTTTTTGTTTGATTTTCTTGATTTTAAATGGCCCATGTATGTTTTAAGTTAAAAAAAAAAAAAAAACTACATTCAAATGGGACAAGAGTCTGAAGACCTCTAGAAGTTTATGGGTAATAATAACTGTAGATTTTTATTATTATACTAAGCTTAATTTTTTAAAACTGTTGAAACATCATTGACAAGTGTATTTGAATTACTTATTTGTGTCATCTTACTCAAGGTCTTTTTTTATATTGATATTCTTGCATAATTTTATAGGATTCTGGTAACACTGTTTATCGTGGCTCAAAAAGAAGTTGTACGAAGGAATTTATTTTGGTGGTAGATAAAGAAAAAAAGGTATAAACCTACAGTAATTACATTGTTTTAATAGTAATGATGTCTATGTAGAAGTTTGTTTTGTTTTTATTGTGGAGGCCTT